AGCTGCAGCATCCTGGGGCTGGGAGCCCAATGGGGAGAGCTGCAGCATCCCGGGACCAGCAGCCTGATGGGGAGAGCTGCAGCATCCTGGGGCCCAGAGCCTGACACGGCCTGCATGGATCTGCAGCATCCCAATACCTGCAGTGTGGTGGGAAGACCTGCAGCCTTCCAGTAGCAGGAGCCTGACTGGAAGCCCTGTAGCATCCTGGTACTGGGATCCCAGCTCCTTGCAATAAGATGCAGGACTGGAGGCGGTTGCACCCTGTTCACGGAGCAATGACATAACTTGCAAATCCACCGCTTCACGCATACACATTTGTGCTCTATTAACACCCTCTTTCTTTATTTCTTTATTTCCTTATTTCTTTATTTCTTTATATTTCTTTATTTCTTTTTATTTCTTTATTTCTTTTTATTTCTTTATTTCTTTTTATTTCTTTTTATTTCTTTATTTCTTTTTATTTCTTTATTTCTTTTTATTTCTTTATTTCTTTTTATTTCTTTATTTCTTTATTTCTTTATTTCCATAAAGCACCCACACAACAGCACAGGTAGTGCAGGAAAATCCAACTCACAGACTAACTAAAACCCAAGTCTCTATTCCTAGCACAGTATAAAAAGGGGCTCCCTTCGAAACAGTGGCCTCCTCTGCCTCGCGCGCAGCGCACGCAGAGCTACACCGGGCGCCAGGCGCCGTGGCGCGCAGCGGCCCGCGGTGCCGCCGCTACGCGCTCGCCGTCTTGTGCGCGGCTGCCGCGCTCTCGCTCACCTTCCGCTTCTCCAGAAGTGAAAACTTGGGGGCTGCGGGCTGCAAAACAGAGAGATGTGACCCCAAATGTTTTCGCAGGAGGCTTTTTGCCCATGCAGGCTGCAGATGAACCGTGCCCTCGCCCTCAGCACTGCTGCGGCGGGCTTGGCTGTGGCTTCACCCCTTGCCACAAAGCACCACTGAGTGTCSGAAGCTGGAGCAGATAACAGAGCCATCTCCCATGGCCCCTTCCTCAAGGTCCTTAATCAGATTTGTTATCCACCAGCTCCCCTTTACAAACCCCACTAACTCATCAGGTCAATCTGGCTCTGGATCCCGCTTCTTAAGGCACTCGGACACCAAGGCAAACACCGCACGCCTGCTCTGGGCCATTGGGCACGTCGGATAAGGTCTGTCCACCGCAGCCCAGGTGGACCTGCAAGCCAAGGAGGGGCCCCAGGGCCACGTTCTCGATATAAAGGTGCAGGACAGAGCACGCAATAGGAAACTGGGGCCTCCGAATGAGAGAAGAGACGTCTCCTTGCAGCATTTGATGCTTGCAAAGAAGCTCCTAGAGGGGAAGTCCTACCTTTACAACYTGGCCTTTTTGGGAACGGGCACCCCTTGGAAGCTCCTTCTTGCTTCTCTTCTCATTGTCCTGGACGAGGCTCTGGATGAAAGCAGCAGGAACGTTACCCTCCTTGTCCACATCGCCCTGGGTGCTGCTCCCTCGCTCCTGCAGCCCTACCTGGCGCAGCTTTGCCACCCGGTTCAGCCTTTTCTCCTGGTTCAGCTGGACCTGCATCCTCTCCAGTGCTTCCTTCAGCAGCGCCTTCTCCTCCGCTTCCCTGTGGACTTCATCCTCTAGTTTGGCCACCTCCTCCCGGCACGTGTGCAGGGACGCTTGGTTCAGCCTGTGCCAAAGAGAGTGTGGGGCTTTTACTCATGTTGACACTCCAGCTCCCAGCTACCGGGAGGCGCTTCCAAGCAGTTGTGCTACACTCGCATCCCTCCGAGGAGCCCTAATGCCATGGAGCTGCACAAACAGCAACCAGGATGTTGCAAAAAACCCACTGCTTGGTTCAGGAAATCTTTTCCCCACTCCAAATCTTTGCTTCCCTCTCCTCCCGCCTTCCTGCTGCCTCTGGAGACTCCCCACAATCAAACCCAAGGAGGGAGACCCCTCCCCTGTGCTGGCCATGATTTTTCCTGCTCTGCTTCAGTACAGATCGTGCTTCAGCACAGCAAACGTGGATGGCAGCGTGCAGCCTTCACAGCACGAGGCTGCAGGGGGATTCTGGATGCTTTGTAAGTGTTACTCGCTTTGGAATTGCTATAAAAACATGCTCCTATTTAGAAGAGCGCGGTATTTTTAAACGGCCCAGAAATATCTTCCCAAAGCATTTTTTCCCGGCTCTGTGGGCAGGAATATTTGAGCGTTCAAGTAGAGAGCTGGGAGCTTCTCCAAGGGCATTTCCCTGTCTCAAACTCTTATTCAAGGCTGCAACCACAAGACTGGCCCCTGGTACAGATGAACCTGCGCTATTATTGACTTTAAGGTGCTGCACTATTCCTTTCTCTAAGTCTTGGCCAGTGCATGGGCATTCCATACCTGAGCTGCTCAGCACTGGACTCATAATCTTTTAGCATTTCTTCTTTTCTTTCCAGACGGCTCTTGAGTTTACGGATCTTATCGTAGAGCAGCTCTAGGTCCTTCTGTCTCTGCAGCCCTGCGTTCTCCCTCTCCTCCTGAGGAAGATGTCTCACCGACTGCATTCCTGTCAGCTCTTTCATATTCATCAGTGCTCCCAGAGCACGGATTAAATCAAGGTACTGTAGGAAGAGTAGGGAATGAATTATTTACTAGGCCTGCCAAGTCTTCATTGAGACAAGATCACACCACTCAGCCATCTGCTTTCATTCTGCTTTAACATCAGAGATTAAAACGTCGTAAGCGAGCGGCTGTGCGTGCTCCCCTTTGTTTAATTGCCATGCGCATTTTCCCTGTCCGAGCCTTTCCAAGCATCTCACACACTCAACCAGATGGGGCTTCACTCATCTCCTTGGGCAGATGAATCCGAGGTGTCCAGAGTGCACAGAAACCAGACTGACATCCCGCAGAGCTGCTCTCACMCAGGACATCTGGTTTGCAGATGTGGCTTAGGGATGTTGAAGGGGAAGAAACACAGGCCACTGCAAGCTCTGCGGTCCCCAGACATCCAGGCAGATGCCTGGAGCTCTTTGTTTCCTCCTCATCCTTGAAGAGCTTCCTGGCATTCCTTGGGCATCACGATGCCAACTGCTTATTGCTGAAATGCATCTGGGAAGGATCTCCCCRTGTCGAGCACTGCTTTAACACGTCCACTGCCTGCGTACCATCTTCTCACTGAGGTCTAGTGCATCAGATGCTGCCACACTGGCGGGCTCCTCAGCTGCTCCAGGCGAACRCTCGCTAGGAAAACTGCTGGGAAACTGGAGGGACAGAGAAAGACGAGCAGAGCATCCCTGCTGCTCACTGAGCTCCCTCTCGTCCCCCTTCCGCAGGCCAGGAAACTGCACTAGCAGAGCTGTGGTACAAAACCTCCCACCAAAGTCCATACGGGACCTTGAGCAGCTCTATGCCACAGGTACAGGGCAAAATGCAGTCCCTTAAAGGAACAAGGATCCTCTGCAAGTAGAGCCTTATGTTAAACTTCACATTATCCACCAGCAGATTTTACACCGTCCCCTTTCCCCAGCTACCCTTTTTGTAACATCTGAAACACCCGAAGACTTGACTTGACTCTTCCCTGAACCACAACTTCTCCCTTACCTTGCTGGAACTGCCTTGGGACAGATGCTCCTTTGCGAGTCCTGCTCTCTGCGCTGTTTTCTCTGGCAAATCCCTCTTCAGAATCACAAGTGGCTCCAGCCCCCAGTTTGCTGAAGGAAAATGGAAACCTGCACAGTGTAATGGCTGGAGAAACAGAACCCCCATGGCACGTAGCAGCTCCCTTGCACTTGGCTGTCCATGGCTGCAGACCCTGCAGGTCCTGCAAACACTGACGCGCAGTGTGGTTACCTTAAAGCTGTTCTCATTTCGTTGCCTGGGAACAGTGGCTTGTGCCAGGTGTCCAGACACCTTCTGCTGTCRTGCTGCACTTACTTGCAGCCTGCGCCTTCTCCAGCAGCTTTATCCTTTCGCGGAGCTCGGCCAAGCCTTCCTTCTGGCGCTGAATGGTCTCCTCGTGCCTGAGGCCTCTGCATTTTGCACCCAGCTCAGCCAAACCCAAAGCCAGGTCCTGAAACGCAAAGTTGGTCCTTGCTCAACCTCAGTATTGCTCTGCCCTGCAGAAAGAGCAAGCAAGCAGTGTAGAGTTGGGGAATGGGACCTGACCTTCCCATGGGCACCACCAACGCATAATCCYTCCAAAAGCAGTGGGCATTTGGGATGTGTTGAGGGCAAAACTCCCACTCTATGAGCAAAAGAGCAGCAGAGAGCTCTTTGGCTCGTTGGCTCTGGCAGAGGAAATAAGCTTTCAATCCTGTATGTGAGAGCTGGGAGAGGGACGGTGCGGAGTCACCCTGKTTTTTTCCTCTATTACTTTGAGCTACCATAGCACCCACATTGCTTAAGAAGCACRAACTGACTTATTTGGTGACCTGAATATTACAACAGTCCTAGAAACGCTTCTTTGCAATACGTCCGTGCACACACGGCACGCTCCAGCACACCCAGCGCGCTGCCTTGTGACTAACATCACAGCTACYGACCTGGGCGAGCGCTTGGTTAAAACCTGCAGGGAGCTGATGATAGATGGAAAACGTCACCTTGGGTCTTGTCATTTTTGCTCCTCTGCGCTTCTGGAATTGGTGGGATGGGCTGTGCATCGCTCTCCCAGCTCGTGGTTCTGCAGCAAGGCCTGGGTGATACCTCCTGCTCATCATCCAAGCATGAGTCATCTTTTGGCCTTGATAAATCCAGTCTTTTTAGCTGGCAGTGTCTGCCACTGTTTTGGTACAGGATGTACGATTTCTGCAGTCCCTCCATCTGCTCCTGGAGGCACCTTTGATTTATTCAGATTTCTAAGAGAAGTGAATTCACAGGGTGCTCCAACACAGAAGGGGAGTCCAGGGACCACTTCTGCCTTCACTTGGTGAAAAAATACCTAATCCTGCACATTAAAGCCCAGCTGCTTTTGTCTGACCAGGCCACGGAGCATGGATGGCTGAGCAAGACTCACAAAAGGAGGGAAGAGTTACACATTTTTGTAARCTGCTATCCACCCTAATTGGCAATTACAGCACCCATTAACATGCACACCACCTCCTCTGCAAAACTCTGCACAAACATCAGCCCACCGGCCAGCAGAAATGCCTTGTTTTCACTACAGAAGAAATTCTCTGTACAGAGAACACTTGGAAGTGGCTTTCCATAAAAGAGACTCAGAAGCAAGACTTTTGTGACTTTGACCTTCCAGATTTGCTGACAGCTGTATAACAAGGCAGCACCAAAAACGGATGAAGATCACCCAAGCAACTTATTTTTAGCATGAAAATTGAGAGCGAGGATATGAGACATAGTCTGCATGTTGCTCCCACTCTTCAGTCATTGGATTTTGACAGGGCGATGCTGCTTCTCATATATTCTTAGCCCATGTGGTTGAAATGTATATGCAGCCATCTTGTCCTTGGTTTTGGTTTATAACAACTGCTTTTCTTTCTTTCTTTTATTCTTTTTCTTTCCCCTGTTTCTTCTAATATCTTTCTATTTTCTCAGTGCAGACTTACCCTTTCAGATACTTCATCTGCTGCTGCAGCGCTGGCCTGCACTTGTGTTCGAGGAAAAGTCTCTTTTGCTGTTTCTTTTGAGGCATCTTTCAGCACTTTCAGGTTTTCTTGGGCTTGCCTGTGCCAAGAAACAAAAACGTCGCTAAACACACAGTGAAGAACGAAGGGCGGCTTGCAGAGAACGGCAACCTGATTAGCTGTGGATGAATATAAAAGTGTGGGTGGGAATAGATAAAAAACAATGATTTAGATATAAGTTTATTTGTGTGAGGGCTTCCAAAGTCCTGTTTTACTTCATATGATATTTCTATAAAGAAAATATTGCTTAAATTTTTATGCCTTCAATGCCTTTGCTTGAGGGGAGATATCTATGTAAAGCCATCGATTGGGAATCCATGGAGCTTTTGTAAACCTTTATAACACAGCAGCTTATACCTTAGCTCTTCAGCAACTGCTTTCAGGTCTTTATCCTTCTTATCCACAAGGTTTGACATCTCATAAAGCTTCTCTCTAAGGGCTCTCAATTCGCTCTCCTGGCACTTCACGCGGCTCAGGTTCCACTCCAACTCCACCTTCTGCTTCTCACTGAGCTCTCCTATGGACAGAGGGATCACAGATTACCAGCTTGCTCAGCACTCAGGCACTGGAGAGCTGCAGTTCTCCACAAAATCAGTGGAAGCAGGTAAACACATGCATACAATCCCCTCATGCAACTCATTTTCATCTGGGCATCTACTTACAGTCACACCCAAGTCACTGCTATCCCTTTTATTCATCTTAGCCTTTTAGCTCAGAGCTGCATGGAGTTTACCTGGCCAAAGGCTATGGACATTCTGCTTTGCTTGGAGCTCGATCACAGAGTCACAGAATGGTTAAAGTTGGAAGGGACCTCCAGAGATCATCTAGTCCAACCCCCCTGCTCAAGCAGGAAAACCTAGAGCATGTGGCACAGAGTGGCATCCAGGCAGATTTTGAAGATGTCCAGAGAAGGAGACTCCACAGCCTCTCTGGGCAGCCTGTCCCAGGGCTTTGTAACTCTAACCAAAGTTCTTTCTCATATGGAGACGAAACTTCCTGTGTTTCAATTTGTACCTAAGATCCCTTGTTCTGTCACTGGCCATCACCACGAAGAGTTTGGCCCCATGACAATATTGCTTTAGGAAGGTGACATCATTTTATCACTATCTGCAAATACCAGTCTCCTCCTGCTAATTCCTAGTCTTGTTATTGCCTGGAAGACAGATGAGAAGGCTCACACGCCCGCTGGAAGCTGCTCCATCCACTTCACGCACCTTTCATGTCTGACATTCGGGCTTTGGTTTCCGCAAGCTCTTTTGTGAGCCCAGCAATGACAGCCTCTTTGGACAGGATTGCCTTCTGTGCAGCGGCTAATTCTCTAAAATTAATGAGAAAGACAACTGCAAAATCCGTAGTTCATCTGAAAGACTCTTTTTAGAGGGCCTGTGCATGCTTTCYGTAGCTGGATCTTATTATTAATACACACATGCTATTTTCAAAGGACGTTTTARTCACATGAATTGAGGCCTATGGCATTAGGATCTTTCATCTCTCCCTCTCTCACCTCAGGCCATCATGACAAGCATTAAGGACCAGCAGCAGACAACAGCATCCTCCTCTCTGCCTTGACTCACAGCACAAGGCTAAAAACAGGAGTCCCTGGCTCCTCCCCAGCTGCTGCTGCTGACAAAGCCTCAGCCCATATCAGAGGACTTGGTGGGCTACCAGCATGCAGGTAGCAATCACTGTCATACCAGCACCTACATCTTGGTGGTTGTTTGTTCCTCATGATCTTTGCATTGAAGTAAAGCCGAGGGAAAAAATAAGAAGACGGCTGTTCCATTTCCCCAAGTGCAGAAGATGATTTCATTTGCAGATGTATTTCTAGACAATTTCCTTCAACAATTTGAAAATATATGTTCTTTAGATTGTTTCTGCCTAATAAAAGGGGTTCTTTTAACTGTCAGAGACAGAAAAGAGCCCAGGGCAAGTTACAGGCATCTCTTTTGTCTTCCTTAAGCCCTCCTATTGCTAACTACTTTTCTCTAAGTCTCTCTAAATGGGACCACTACAGACAAGAGATCCTTAGCTACTTACACAAGACAACAAGGGGATGCCTCTGTATGAGAAGCTGCTAGTGAAGCACTTGATGATGACCTGCAGGGATCACTCTGAAGTCCTGCAGAAAACAATAATGAAACCAGATTATTTATTCATATCACATAAGTATTTTCAGYTTAGTTGCTTCTGCAGTGGATTTTGCATCTTGCACCAAGGTCGCCATGCAAGCATCTCTAAGAACKGAACCATGGCTTTCTACTGGGGTCTGTCTTTCTGGGGGCCAAAATGTTTTTGATAGTAACAAACAATGTGCTACCCTATCTCTAAATAATTTCACATGAGTCAAGAATGTTCCCAGTATACACACATCCCATGCAACCCTCAACTACCTTCTATTTTTTCCAAAAGCGCAGTCTTTTCCTCTTCTAAAATCTTCTGCTCCTGTTTGGCCTCCAGCAATCTGTCTTCTAGCTCAACAATTGTCAGGGAATGTTGCTTAATTTGTTCTTTATATTCCACTATCTCTTCCTGAAATTTCTGCTTCAGTAACTCTTTTTCATCCTGAGTGATCTTTAGCTGTTCATCTTGCATGAGTAACTGCTGCTTTAACATGACCTAGGAAACAAGATGGGTGATTTTGCTTGGGCACSTTGGGAGCTCAGACTTGCTCCTGCAGGATCTACCACTACAGAGGTCAACTCCCCCTGATAAAAGTGCCCATAGGGTGGACAGGCTGCAGCCCTGCTCATCAGAAGGGAACGGGGAAACCTCTTTAAATAAAACTACATCTACATCACACACCCCAAAACACTATTAAAGCTACCTCTCGCTTCCCAGTCTCTTCTAGGTTGTCCATAGCTTCTCGTAGTTTGACATTTATCATTTCCTGCTCTTTTGACTTCATTTCAATTACCTACACGAGGAAAACATGGTAACTAAAAACACCAACTTACAAGGATCCCCGTTTCTCTCTGCAGATATTCAGACAGCACTTGACCAGAAGGGGCATTTTCAGAACAGGAGAATTCAAATGTGAATGGTTCTGCCTTCCATCCTATGCATTTCACTAACCTCAGTCATACTTCTCAGATGACATTCCAAGTCTTGGACCTTCTTCTTTTCTTCATCCACAGACTGCTTGAACTTGTCTTTCTCCTTGGCGACAGCACTCTCCAGAATCTGAGAATTAACAGACATTTTGATAAAGAYAAAATCATAAAATAAAGCAAGAGAATTTGACTCAGAAAGCAACCAAGAGAGTTACTGATCTGGAGCAGGGGCATATGGTAGATGAAAAGCATGGCTGGACACAAAACAGCTCGATGAGGGAAGGGAAGAGAGCGCCGGGGGGAATGTACAGCAGGGACAAGGAGAAACCAGCCACACATTCRCTACCTGGATCGTGTAAAATCCTGAGGCATGGAAAAATCTGTGCCAGAAGGGACTGGCAGATGAGCGCGCCGGAGACGGGCTTACAAGACAACTGCAATATGCTGCCCCATTGCAGCATGTTGCTACGATACAGGCAGAGCAAACCACTACCTCGGATCTGTAACGCAAACATGCCACCCTGCCCTACCTCTTTGCTTTCCTCCTCCTTCTCCAGGATAATCTGATTGATTTTTATCTGTAGGTCTTGATTATGTTTTGCTTTCAGATCATTCAAATGCTCCTGTAGCAAAGCATCCTGAGACTTCTGGACTTTGTCTAATTGGGTCTAGAGGGAAATATTTGAGAACACGTTTTTAAAGGAAGCACGTTAGCAGCAGAACAAGGAAAAGATTTGTGCATTCATTAACAAACATATCAGATGAGAGATGTACAGTTTGATCTTGTAGAAGCAGCGGAAATTCCCATATCACGTTGATGGTGGGATATTTTCCATTCTATTGCGCTTACTGGAGATCCGCAGCTCTCTGCTACTCTATGAACTGGTTTATTCACTGTCTGTCTTAAAGCTGCTACCATTTTGAGCAGCACAAAGGCCCCAGGCTTATATATATATTTATATATATATACACAAAAATATAAAAAATATATACTTATATATAATAYATACTTACATATACTTATATATACATTTACCTCCAGTAGCTGAATCCTTTGTGTGGCTTCATGGTTGTTTTCCAACAACATCCTGATACAAGCTGACAATCCTACAGAAGAAACGCAGTGTGACCATAGGAGCTTCTTGCACAGCCATTTTCACCTGCCTGAGATTTCTTCAGTTCTGGCTAATTACTTCTAGAAGTTGCAGTACTGGAAAAGGCCTAAGCACATTACTTATGTCTTGCTTTAAAGAGCTGTCCACAGCTTGGAAGAGTCCTAAGGACCAGTCAAGGGCCTCCATAACAGTTGCTACAAACCAAGTCACACGGTACGTTTTCTCCTGTGGAAGATTAGACAGAATATGTTGACAGAACTGTCAATATTGCTAAGACTTCTTGAGATGACACTTTATTTCAGTACGATGGTATTGTCCAACAGTGTTACCTGTATTTTTATGTGTCTCCTTTTCCTCTAACCCTACCACTTCTTCTAGAGCAGAGGAAGGATCATTTCTCCAGGATTCCAGGTGTTCCTCTCAAGATGCTTCTGGTGCCGGCATGACCACACTGCTAACCACAACAGGACCACAACGGCCACCTCCCCGCTGACTACAAGCCATCCAGCCCCTCTGCTCCTCCCCAACACTGCACGCCGCTTTGCACTTTTAAACCATCGTGTATTTTTGACATGAGATACACTTCTTCCTCCCACCCTGCCGCCAATGCAGTTCTTCATCTGCACTTATGTTCCACAATACAAGTCATACGATGCTTTGACACCAACCTACGCTTTCCAAGCTACTTCATTTTCCACGCACTCCTCACATTAACTCATTTTCTTTAAATCCAACAGAGCAATTGCTCTGCTCCCCAACAGCAGTTGCAAAGGAAAGGAAGACAAAGCACTTCATTACCTCCAGACAAGCAGCTCAGATCTCAGACTGCAACACTCTGCAAAGCTGCAGCCACTGCCAAGAGCTCTTTCTAGTCTAACAAGGAAAAAGCCACTTTGAATGGATAACCAGGATGTAAACAGRTGAAAGTCCATAACATACACAAAGTATCTGAAAGACAAATACCTAAATATATGCTGGGTAGTACTGGCTACACAAAGTGACTGGTATCACCAGTGGCCACTGCCAGAGCAGAACGACCTGAAAGGAAAGACCTGCCTCCAGCTCATGTCCTATTAGAGTTACAGGCTCAAAAAATCCAGTAAAGGTAATAGCTCCTTAACTGTTCTCAGAACCTGCCAAATCCAAGACGCAGAGAAGGAACCAGCCTAAAAAACAGGAACTATTTACATCTGCCTATGTGTGTAACCTCAGTGCCGGGCCCAGACACAGGAACGAACATGAGCGCTCGCTAGTCTATTTAGGTAGCTCTGTTGCCTTATCTGCCACACTTAGAGGAAGGATGAGGCTGAAATGTGTGAGTTTTATTTCCTGCACTTTCACCACGTCCTCTTCTCGCTCTCCCCTCTCCGTTACCCAAGTTGCTTTAGGTGCTAGCAAGTGTCAAATGTGGGGGCTGAAATGCCCAAGTGAGCTCCCTCTGTACTGGCCCCTCTCCCATCCAGGAAAAACCATTTGTAGCAGGTCAGGGAATTGCAAGCAGACATGGTGAGACAGGAACCTTCATCAGAGGAAGGCAGGTCCAGCCCCGCACTCTCCAGGAGCTGCTCCACTCCCTCCATCCAGGCCAGGAGACAGCGCACGGTCCCAGCCACAGCCTTGTGGACTTCCGAGACAGGAGGGCCCACGCGCAGAGCCTCAAAGGTGCAGAGCTCCTGTCTCAGGCTGGCGCTGCCACGACAGGTCCTGAGGAAAGCCTGAAAAAATCGCCCCAAGKGCTTGCTTAGAACATAACGCAATCACACTCGTTCATCAGAAGGTTTGTACGCTACAATGTTCAGTCACAGAGGAAGTCTGTGCCTGAGGTTATAAAAAGTATATCAAGAGCTGACCTGGAGCCCATATAATGATTTCATGAACACTTCGACATTTTCAGACAGTTCTTTTTCCTTCGTGAGATGAGAAGTTATTTCCTTCTGGAAAAGCTTCTCTTTTTCAAGAYGTTGCTGGTTTTCATCTGAGATCTTCCTGATCTTCTCAATTAACTGGCAGGTGTATGGGGAAAAAGAGGAAAATAAAGCACAATAACGCACTACAGTAATCCACACAGTTCTACTCTGTAAGGCTGCAACACRGGCTGGGTCTATAATCACTCATGGAGAAAAGGCTTGAGAAATGGGGTTTTGATCAAGGTCTCAGGCAAATCACTGAGCCAAAGCAAGCTAGGGCAGGAGAACTGCTGGAGAACACCAGCCATGTCAGCCTGGAGGGTGCTTCCAAGCTTCACAGGAGAGAAAAGATGGCATTTCCTTCACATTATGGGAACGTGTCGGGGTCCTAGGATGCCKAACGTATGTCTTGGGGTGTCAAAGAGGCTGGATGAGACAGGTAAGACTATGCATGGTGCAGGCCCTTGGCAGCACCAAGCTGCTCTGGCCATCAGCATCTGTACCCACCTGCTCATCTGTGGGCGACTTCTCCGCAGCTCTGGTTGCTTGGGGAAAACAGACTCGCACCACTTGCTGTTTGAAAGACTCCAGCTACAGCAGAGGTTAGCACAGGGAAATAAAATCACCGCAAATCAATAAAACCTCTGCTTGTTAAGTCTACACAGCCTTCCAAAAATCAATGAGAAGGGCACCTCTGGGTTACTCTTATGTTGTTGCAATACTGTGGGCTAACTCTGTGCTGGCTGGCAGGATCTGAGAAGAAGATAGAAGTAATTATAAATTAAATTGAGAGACTTTTATTCCTGTCATTACTGACACTGAGGTGGAATACGTACTCTTGCCATTGCCTCAGGACATTGCTTGAGCTCACACTCAATTTTCTGCAACAACAGTTCACCAAAAAAAAGGAGAAAAAAGAAAAAAAAAGAAAAAAGAAAAGGAGAAAAAAAGAAAAATCCCTGACATCAAGGCATTGCCATTAATAAAGTTAGTTAGGTTAGCTGCGAGATGCAACATGTAATCACCACTAACGCTTGCAGGGCAGGCTTTCAAATACACTGTCAAGGTAAATGTGATTCCCAAATGTCTTCTGGAAAGCTGATACCTAATTTTGCCCCTATTACAGTCAAATGCAATCTGGTATATCAATATCACCATAACTGGTTGTTGGTCCAACAGTGCCTGGGATGGAGAAAGGGCAAGTGGGTCAAGTGACCTGAGGGAGATTCATGTTTCCACCTGACACCAGAATTACACTGATACCATCTCCTCGCTGCTGAGACCCCTCTAGCAACATCCTGCTAATACAGCTGCTTATCCTTCCTACTGCATAATTCCTTTCAAAGCCTTCTTTTTTTTTTTTGCCTGGGTGGTAGTTCAGACCACAAAGGATAGACTTTGCTGCGCAATTGCTGACTTCCATACTCAGATGGGGATTTGCAAAGGTTTGCTCTGATTTCTTCCTATGAAACAGTCAGGGGCAGGCTGGGCGCATGCGAGGATGCCACCCACAGGGTCTTCTCAATAAAAGATGCACTTCCACTGAGGTCAGCTCRGTGCAGTTTGATTTAATAGACGGTACTAACTTCTCCTTGTCCTGTTGACAAACAGCTATCTCTGTGCTAACCTGCATGATAACACGCAGCCCCGCAAGGCAGCAGGTTATTGTCTGCAAAAARTGTAGGAGTTTCTGTTCAGCACTGTTAAATCTATCGTTGAAAGCCTGAGGCTGCCCTTCAGCTCTGCAACTCACAACAGCTGTGGTTAATTATCAAATATTTCATCAAACCACTCAAAGCATTTTCTGCCTCTCATTGACTGTTTCTTTTTTTCTTTTTTTTTTTTTTTTTGCCAAACCATGCCAGCAAACCCGTGTGTCATGGGTTAACACAGGGCACAACCTCCTCATGTGAAGCAAAGCTTCATCAGGGTGATCTGACATGACTATCTGATGGTAAGGCAAGGAAATCATCATTTCCTCTGAGGCTGAGTACCAAAATTTAGTTGCAGTAAACCAGCAACAAGCACATTTAAAAGGGGTAGGGGCAGCTCTACAAGGAAAGGCTGTTGCTCAGCAATGGGAATGCTCCCAGGCTTTGCTGCTGCCCATGAGCCTGTCTTCAAATACACCTGGTTCTTTTGCAAAGGGCTGCCTCTGTGCTGAGCAGCATTGCATAATCCCAGCGCAGGGTTCACCCGGCTTCCAGCCAGCATGGCTAAGATTACAGCGATAATACTGCATTTCTGTATCATATTAAGCTCCCTGCATCTTGTGCGATGACTAAACAAATCCTGCTGTACAAGCCAATGCTACAGCACATGAGCACAAACCCAGTGCAGGCCGCAGAGCTTTGTGCTCAGCAGCCAGTATTTCCTTTCAGGAACCCAAGCCCTGAATGCCTTTCACAGGCACGTTTTTTCCCCTGGGAGAGATGGGACTCTCGGTACCTGCAGCCCCAGACTGTAGGATCGTGGCATTTCTTTCTCCTCCCTACCTGATCTTTGGCCCGATCCAAATTGGATTTCAGCAGGCGTTCCCGGCGCCCCATCTCCTGCACTTGCTGACCTTTCCTTTCACATGCTTTTTTCAGCTCCTCTTCAGCCTGAAGCAACGAGAGCATTCGAGCAGCAAAACAAAAACAGCACAAGAAGCCACCAGCAGCTTTACCCCCATACCCACTGTTCATTCTCAAACTCGAGACAGGGCTTTGAATGGAGTCACATGTTAGTCCTTTTGCAGGAGGATGCAGTGAAGCGCTGGAGACCTAGCACTAGTTTTTGGCCTGACCTAGGGCCCTGGGACATCATCCATCGTATACCATCCAACACACTGCTTGCACATTTAAGTCCCTGCTGCAGGAGTTATTTTTTTGGGTATATAGTAGACCTAAGCACAACGCTACATCCACCTTAGGGTCCAGATTYCTGGGGGTTTTCTACCCTGTGGATGGCAGAGGGGCTTTCTCAAGAGCTGTATTGTGCCATTGGCATCGGAGGCMCTGGCAGAGCCCAGGACCAGGGCAGGGCTGCCCTCTGCTGAATGGAGCCAGCTCTGCTCAGCAGCCCGCTCGGCCACGGCAGCGAATTCACGCGGCCGCGGCCCCATGTGATGATATCTACTGTCACCTGCTGTGTCTTCCTGCAGGAAACGTCCCTGCACGGCTAAAGTGCTCTAAGGCTCTTTTGTCATCGCTTCTGTCTTAGGGCACTAGGAAAAAATACACACAAAATAAAGGATCTGGAACCCACATTGGAAATACCGTGTCACCGAATAACTTGTTATTTCGGACCTGTTCAGAAGCTTGGAGCGACACACTTCACCTACCAGGCTATACACTGCTCTTTGCAGAGCAGAGAGCAGCTGGTTGCAGCGTGGATAATTTACCTTTGTCTTCTTGGAGAGCCTGTTTTTCATGGTTTCTTGTTCAGTGCGATACTTCTGTATTTCTCCTTGCAGTCCCTTCACATGAAGTTCAAGATCTCCAATGCGCTACGAGAGTCCCAGCAACGCAGAAAGTTTCATTAAAGCCGCACAGTATTTCCACTGTTGCTTATCTTTTCAAGCAACTGAATTGGTTTCAACCAATTTTCAACCAAATTTCAACCAATAAGCAACACATTTGCTCCATCTATCACTAAGGACCCTACACTGAATGGAAAAGACTAGTAAGATGCTTATGAAGCAGATGGGAAGCTCCATGTCGGTACTAAGTAGGCCAGCTTCCTGCTTAATTTGCCCTGAGGTTTTGTTCTACTCTATATTTACTGATGTTATAATGATTTTCAAGTGGAATTTAAAGTTCACTTCAGACAGGTTCTCCTGCATCATAATGCAAAGCTACATTTTTTTATGGGAGTTTTCATTCCTCCATTTCCTTATGCAAGGTAGAGCTCCTCTTCTATTAGAAGAACCTGACTGCAAACAACTTTCTTAAAATGTTTCGTTAACTATTCTCTCAATGATGCATTCTTGCAATTGCTGCTTTCTTGTGTGTAAAATCACACCAGACAACTAGAAACTCACGTTTCGGTAAGCACTGACTTCTTTCTCTCCGAGTTCATACTTCATTTCCTCTTTAATTCTGGAGTACTAGAATAAACAGCAACCAAGGGAAAAGAAGACATCAAGCTGCCCAGTACTGTCATTTCTACAGCAAATGTCAACACATATTTCAGTACCGAAACACAGCTATGCGCACGGACACCAAATGGGTGGCACATTGCCTATAATGGGCAATTAAGGCAAAAAAAAGGGGGKTTTAACTTTTTTTTTCGAAAGTACAAAAGCAGCAGCTCTTCAAAGGCCCTCTGAAAGCACAACCAGGTCATGGGAAGAAAAATCACCTGCAATGAATACGCTGCACACGTAAATTCCTCCAGCCTGAGCACAAATGTAATGAGAAGGGAGTGGAAGGGCAAAATGAGATGACYGCTTTTGACAAAATAGCCACGGGATGCCGAGCACTGCATTGACAAGTATTTTCAAGCAAATGTCATGTTTTTCAACTCTGCATTTTCAGGTAGCAGGGTTGCAGAGAATGAGTCCTACTCCCATTGCCGTGAGGGTACAGGCACCTCCCAGCAAGTGCAGCAGACCAGCTCCTGCCTTGCTCCAAGCCCTTTCTGCAACCAAGGAGCACTTTCCATGCTTTTCCTTCCTCTGAAAACCTTYCTCTGAACTTTTAAGACAGAATTTCCTGCGGTCATCTGGGATGCTGCTCAGTGAGGATGAGCAGCTGGAAAAAAAAAAGCCAGTAGGTATATTCATGTAGCTCCCACTGGATCCCAGGAGCCCAGGAGATCCCCTTAGTGCCTTCCATTACTCAGGAATCATTGTGGGTAATTGAAGTATCCTGGAAGAGTGCCCAGTCAACCAGCCAAAACGGAGCAACCGTTTTACACTTATTATGCAGATTATGCAGCTCTGTATGAGTTGCCAGTTGAGCAGGGGGGGCTGCAAACGCACAGACAGACAACCTGCTAGAAAAGCAGTTTTCTTTAAAGGAAAACACAGGCTTGGCTGTCGGGAGCATCAAAAAGACCATGTTTCCATGGCTGATAATGGCTCCTTGGAAGGATCTTGGCACAGGTGCCTTCATCGTACAAAAAACTACAGTGCTCGTAGAAATTCAGGTCACAAAGTAGCTGCACTCGGAACAAGGAGAGGGATTCATCAGGGAAAGCAGACACCTCTCTGGGAGTGCTTTGCACCATCTCACACAATTGCTGCCTCAGTGATACAGCTCATGCTTCTAGCAGCTTCGATCTGAATGCAGCCAGGACCCAAGAGGTACAACTGTCCCTCACAAATAGCTGCTAAAACAGCTGCTATGGTCCTTTGCAGCGAGAAGCATGATCCATTCAATCTTATTTCCCACATTCATCCATATGTGAGACAATAAATTACARAGCCCATCATTAGGCATGTTAACCTTGGCAGAAACAACTGCTAGCTGATTGTCCTTTTCTCTGTTGTCCTTCTTCATGTTTTCAACCTCCTGGTTGAGCTGCTGAATTTTCTGCTCCTTTATAGCAATCTCTCTTTGCAGGCTGGTCACTAGTCCTGTGAAAAACAATTTAGGTGAAAGGATACAAAAGCATTTCCCTATGAAACTCCTCTGGCCAGTGACCAGCAATTCTGTGTTCTTTTTGCAGCAATCATCTGATTTGGAAAGAGGACTCAGCTCTTGGCAAGCCATCCTGGGCGTTRTTCTATGACAATACTATTAAAAAGTTCCTCTGGGTACTGGAGCAGATGCTCCCTGGAGGAAGAGCATCTTTCTGAAGTTTCTCTTAGGTTTGTATGTTAGGTCTAAAACTCTGATACCTCCTCCCCACCAAGCACTGTTATTGCATCCTTTCAGACCAAGGGAATGAGGCAGAACAGCTTTGTTCACCTGAATGCATTACGGAGGCCTGTTTGGGAAAAGAAAACATTTAACATTTTGTGTAAACATTATATTCCCCACTGCTGATAAGTACTGAGATAAAGGCAATTGGAAAAGGCTTGGATTCCATGTGCAGAACAGCAGGAATGAGGAACCTGACCGTGAGCGTTTGAGGATCCCCTGGTGCCACTGCAGGGCTTGTTGCTTTGCTTCTGAACAAAACTTTCTGTCCCATCCCTCCCTGCCTTTTCTCTTCACRTTTTGTTTCACTCCCATTGCAGTCATTATACCAGAGACTACCTGCAAGTTCCAGATATCTGCCAGAAATAGAATATGGGGCAGAATTTTCATGTGCCTCTACAAGTCGTTGCTTGCCAAGGCGGTTTACAAATACTTAGTCATTTTGAGGTGCCACTCCTAAACTATTTAGTGCTTTAGACCAAGTTTCCCAAAATGCCAGTGGAAAAATACCTGCAGTTAAAGCTTGATCCCTCTTTAGCTTCTCGCTTTGTTTTTTCAGGCTTACAATTTCCAGGTCTCTTTCAGAGAGGGAATGGCTCAAAACTTGGCTGGAGTCTTTCTGGAGGTTGCTGATCTACAAAACACAGGAGAATACACGTTCCTTTGGATTCAGCTCCAATAAATTTCTGTCCTAAGTGCAAAGTAAACGTTCTCTAAGCTTCAAGGAGTGTGAACTGTTTTCTCATTTGCACTAACTTTTCAAGCCCTTACAAAAAGTCGCGGTTCTTACTGGATCAAAAGCTGACARTAAGGAACTCCTCTTGCTACAGGGATCAAATGCTCTTCTGCATCTGAAGCTTTCTCAAACAGTAAGTTCACACATGTTCCTCACTGAACTGACAGCATTTCTATGGGTAACACAACAGCTACCTGCCTCCTACGGTCCAGTTCTGAGAGGTAGATCCAGCCCACCAAGGCCACTGTCTCATTGGGTCACTCTCTAATCTTCGGCTAACACTCAGAAATAATTGTTTTTGATAGGATCTTCTTAAAAGTCCTGTTGTCTGCTCACACAGAAAGCCTAATATAAAAGGCACAGTGAAGCAATACATCATGCTGTCTGTGATCCTGAGAATATATAGCACAGGCTGGCTGAAAAAGCAAGCACATTACAAGCCAGAAACACCYGCAGATTTGTAGCCTTCAAAGTGCATCCTTACTTATTACATGGAAAAGAAGATCTGGAGGGGCTAATAACTCATGTTCATGTCTCCACTGCAAACARGGTTTTTATATTCCCTAACAGGGATCAGGAGCTGGGGAAAAATCTGCATAATCCACTTCTGCATATCATTGCCATGAAGACAAGCAGCAGAAACAGGTTTCCCACTGCTAAAATCATTGGTTTCAGGGACYTCTTGCAAACCAGTTATTGGAGAGCCTCAAGAGTGAGTGCCCTGGTGCAGTGTTTGGCTGGAGACAGGAAGGCTGTTTGGATGATGTGGAAAACATACCATCTCAGCAGTGAGAGGAGAGATGCTGGCAATATCCTCAGAACTGGGTCATTTTTTTGCCACGTGGAACTTGTCTATCCAAAGTTTCTCTTGCTGACATAGTCAAAAGCATTTCACAACCTCCTTCAGATCTAGTCTATGTAAAATATGCACCAAAACCGGTCTCCTCATCACCATGTCAGGCAGGCTTTGCTTTGCCACCCTATCTCAACATGAACATCAGATCTAAGGAAACCTGGCTGCCAATGAATGAGCATCTCGTACAGGACTGAGAGCTTCAACTGACTCTTTTCCCACACTGTTTAGAAGGATGTGGTCCATCAGTTTGTCTCTCTCTCTCTCCCAAAAAAAAAAGTCTCTGTCATTTTTTGCTGCCCAGTATGCATGGGTACATGCTGCAACATATCCTTCAACAAGACAATTATAAGGCCTCTCTCTTCTTTCTGCACAGACATCTATTTTCACCACAAGGTCAAAGAGCTGAAATGCCCTTGGGACTTCAAGTCTCCCTTCAAATGCATCTGTTGAGTCAGTTCCTGGAGCAGAAGTGGTGGAGGGACAAGAAGGGGTCAGGTAGCCTGATCCAGCAGGAACATGCATGCCTTTTGGCCACCGCAAGCTGGCTTAAGCACAAGTTTCCCTTCCTGTATTACAGATTCTACCACATAAATGGGAAAACTTAATTACCAGCTTTTGTAAGGGAAACTTATTCAAGAACTATGAAAAGCGTGACTTAATATTACCTTGCAAAATGGACAGAACTGAAAAACAGGATGTTAAACTAAACATCAGTGTACATTAGAAAGATAGCTGCCTATTTAGTGTCTATTTAAGTGTTCAGTACCTGTTCTTTTAAGGCTTTAATCTCCTCTGTTTTTGCTCCCATTTCTTGGTCAAAGGTTAGCAGCTTCTGACTCAGCTCTACATTGTTTCTAGCAGCAGCCTGGGCCACAGTCTTCACCATCCTTGCAATTTCATTCTGAAGATTTGCTATCAGTGTATCTTTATGCTTCATTTCGGTTTCAAAACCCAAGAGGCGACTGATTTCCTTTTCCAGACTCAGAAGCTTTTCATCCTGCATGCAGATTACACATGAGGTCTCCAGCTACAGAGATACCAGAGTAATAACCAAAACGACTTATTTCCATAAAACGCATGGACAACTTGAGACAAAGACTTCTATTATTAACAGCACGCTGCAGACACACCGTGACATTCCTCCTTCTCAGATACAACTAATACCTTTTACCTCCTCACCCTGAATTTCACTAGGGCTAAGTCATCCAATTCCTCGGTCTGGCAGGTAGCTCTCATCCGTGGGAGCAGTCTCATTTGAAGTGAGTCACCGCACCCTGATGCGACTCCTGATCAGACACACTAACATTCTGCACGGCATTTCTGCTTCCTTTACCTCCCATCTGGAGCAGTCGTCCACAGCACATACCCCTGAGGACAGGACAGTTTCTGTTTCCCCATCGCTCACTCATTCCTCAGCATCACCTTTTCCTGAAGAAGGAAATCCACATCACGAATCTCTGGTGAAGGTGCTCCTGCCACATCACTCTGCCCATTTCCTGATATATTTGTCAAGACTGAAGGAAAACAAGCACAATCGAAAAAAAAATCAACATGAGAAGGAGTTTTGATTAGGATTAATTCTGCTTTTGGTGCCTCTCTCCCACTTGCCTAAAAACAAGGCAAATGCTGTTTTGCAGCCAAGGAACTCAGCCCACAAACAGAAGAATAATCAAGTAATTTGTACTAAAATGACACTCACTAGTGGAAAAGGCCTATACAACACAGAATAAAACCCCTCTAGATTTTAAAAGCCTCAGATGCAGACAGACACCACAGCTAAAGGCTCCTCTGAACTGGCAACACTGCCCTACCCTGCGCAAAGAAGCTGGAATTTCAAAATGTGCAGCATGTGAAAAGTTGCATTAACTAGGATTAGCACATGCAGAGTCTTTTGGCTCTAGTCCACGAGATCATAAGCGTATGTGCTAACGTGACGCATGTGCCTCACTCCCATTACCTTGGGTGGAATTTCAAGTTATGCACATGCACACGTACCGCTCTTTATGCTATGCTGCTGTGACTGCATTGCAACGCCTTCGGGTCTGGAACATTGTGTGTTTTGGTGGCTTACTAGTGACTTCATACTGTTTATCACTGTTGCCAAAAAAAAGGCARGAAAATCACCTCACCGTATATCATGTTATCTCACAGCAGAGTTCATGTTCTACAAATGTGCAATTCTACAGGTGCCTTGCACAGTATTACAAGTGCAAAGAACACTCCAATTTGCTGATGTGTTGGTTTATATAYCCAAGTCACTCTTGGTTAATAAATAGGTTTGCTTCTTCAGTTGTATTTGCACAGTTGTATCAGCTCTGCTACGATTGCTTACTTTACTTTCTAAAAACGATACAGTCCATCAGATATAGCTCTAATTTTAAATCCCTTTGCTGAAAGCAGCCAATAATTGCAGATCAAAAGATGAAAAGCACCAGTTCAAACAAGAGACTGCAATAGGTGCATGAGTCATTGGTGAAGATAAAGTCAGTAATCACAGCACAAGGTCACGCACAAGGAAAAAGGAAAAGGAAACGTYACCCAGACTAACCATGCAATGACATTGCTCATTGTTTGTCAAAGCACCGTTCTTAACTTATCYAGCCTTACTTGACAAGGAATAACACCCAACTGCCTATACTGCTTGTCACTTGGCAGTGCAAATCAAAGCTGTCTCTGGTCATATCACCGCAGTGCAATGCAGAAGTGGCCTCAGAGGACACAAGGCTACGGACTGCTGGGCAAGCATGGGCGGAAAAGGTCAGTCTGCGTAGGAGCCACAGTTCCCTCAATGCCACACCAAGAATCCCGGCCAATATCCGCAAGTACCTTGCGGCTCTGCAGGGGACTGACTGCAAGTATCTGGAGAGAAAGAGGTCGTGCTCCTAGTCCAGGCACTCACGGGCCGCTTCCTGAGCGGCGGATGGGGCACGTGTCCCGCTGCGCCCGCGGCCCAGCTGCCGTGCGGGCTGGGGCACTGCTGACACTGAAGCACGGGGAGGTGGGCAGGAGACGACGGAGCCTGAAGTTTGGGCTCTGGGACCAGCTGGASTTGCCCAGGCCACGCTGTGCGACGCTTCACTGGTGGATAGGAGAGCTGCGGTGGAAAGGGGACACCACATTAGCATGAGTTTCAGAAGTTCCCAAGCCCGCGCTGCGTGGAATATGTAGTACGAACCCCATCCACATGTCTGAGCTGAAGTATTAATAACATGGAATTAACTCCATGTTCTTCTGACTTTCAAAGTCTGAGAACTGGATTTAAACCATGACGAACAAATATTTGGCAAACGTGCAATCAGTCAGCTTCTCTTCTTCACTCGTCAGACAACCACAACTATTTTGGACCTCTAACTAATTATAAAGACACCCATTTCTTCCATAGGAGCGCTACTGCTATGTATCAGCGTACATCTGGGACTCTTCTGGGAACCATGTAAAACACACTGGCTTTGTGAATCTGTCATGTTGGTAGACTTCTATTTAGAGACAAAGCATGCAGAGCCCAGCTATGAGATAGAGTTGCTGGAAGAAGGGAGCCAAGCCACATACATTAACATCCCACGGACTGGCTTATATGTCCCAGAATTAAAGTAAAACAAAACAAAAAGTGTCCTTTATCGTACAATCTTACTCAAACAGCTCAAGAGACTTCAGCATGTGTTCCCTACATCTCAAGTCTCACCACTTCCCCCATGTCTGGAGGCCAGCAGCCCTGCAGCAGCAGGACAGCTCCACCAGCAGCGTGCCAGCACGCGGCACAGTGCACCTACAGGCACGGGGCGAGTTCAGGTCTGAACTGTATGCTGCACRGTCCATAAACTCCAGGATTCCCATTAATACATCCCACCTTCCCCCCAGGAGGTGCAGATCTCTCCTGGCAGTTGTCCCCATTCCAGGCAAAGGTTAATTATTGCTCCCTGGACTTGTGCTATTCCGCCCACTATCATGCCTTAATACCATTCCTCTTAAGCATGCTCTGCCTGGTTGGAGCTCCCTGGTTTTCTGGGAAAGGGCGCAAACCACAGGGAGCCACTAGTCGCAGCTGACACGCTACTGCGAGAACACAGCAAATACTGGCCAGGGGAGGACCCTCCTCCACACACACCTCTGGTCCTCTTGAAATGAGAATTGAGACTCCATATAGCAGATCTAAGAAAGCAGCATCAGGAATAACCAGAACACCCACATTTGCAATTTAGAGGCATAACCTTAAGCTCTCTCTGAAAATACTGGCTCTAGTAGATCCAGGAGACAAGACTTGAACCTCATGTGTCAGGATGCTGCTTCTATCAAGTGTTTTGCTCATTTGCTGTACGGATGAAGCCTGCAATACCTGGGACTTGGCAAGAGCAAGGGGAGGTTTTCAGTTTGCTTTAAATGTTGATATACTTTATATATTTATATTTTATTAATATATTTATATATCTTCCTTTTTTTTTTTTTTTTTTTTTGTAATGGAATACTGTGCTATCTTGGTTGGGTGATGCTCTTGCTTAATATATATTTGTCCTTAATACTACCAAAATGACAGAGCGAGCTCCCTATATTAAATGCTGTAAACCCGTCATGAACTGAAATCTAGGAGTGATTTACTCTCTGCAGCCAGCTGTGTCAGGCTTCAAAGCTATTATATTAAAGAATGATCGTGAAGCCCAGAGCAGCAAAGAGGAGCCACCAGTGTTTTCCTTGTGTCACTGAACTGCTTTTCTTATGTGTATGGTACATATATGCTTTCAGAAATTAAAAAATTCAGTACTCCAGTGGGGAAAAAACTTTACTCAAACAGCCTTGCCACTCTAACCACTCTGGCTTATGTATTTCTTTCTCTTGGCCTAAAGATTCTGGGCAAATTTGGATGCATAAATTCAGCTTACTAAGCCAGACTGCTTCCTGAGACAGCCAAAGCCCGTGTCTGGATGCACAGCCTTACTCAAGGGAAGTTTTATCTGTACACTAACTGTGCAAAGAGCAGCCTCTGGGACTCCCAATACACAGGCAGTTTTCCAGGACTTTTTCTGGATTCCTCAAGATCTCTAGCGATAACATTARTAATAGATTTCAAACATCCTTTACATTAAACAGCCCAAAAGCTTGGTGAACTCAACTGCCATCCCGTGCCAGTTCTTTTTTTTTGCTATAGACAAGAGATTTCCATGAGGTTTCATCAAATTCTTTCCAGGTTAACGACTGCATTGGATTTACATAGTACTCAGAAATCAGGCTGGTCTCGCTGGGTAGAACACCACCACATCCCTGGCTATGCTACAGCTGCCAAGTAAAGCACCAATAATCGGAGCAATAATAAGGGAAATGCCTTTTCCTCTACCCTACTGAAATGCCAGAATCTCTTCAGCAGAGGGAGCCCAAGGTTTTTATTATTATAATTATTATTTCCTCGCCTCCCAAGCTTCTCCCCAGGAACTGGGGAGGACACGGAGGGCTCCGCAGGGAAGCGCCTCATCCCTGGCCGTGGCCATCATGGCTCGCGCTGCTCTCCGCGGCACCTTACCGAGGCCGCGCCGTCCTCCAGCAGCACGAGCTCGTAGCCGGGGCCGCGCGGGCCGAAGCGCAGCACGTCGCCGGGGCCCACGCCGACGGCGGCGCCGTGCACGTGGCAGCCGTTGACCAGGGTGCCGCGGGACGAGGCCAGGTCGCGCAGCACGAAGCCGGCGGCCGCGCAGTCTAGCGCCGCGTGCCGCTCCTCCACACCTGCAGACTGGCGCGCGGCGCAGCGGTCACCACTCCCGCGTCCGCCTTGCCCCGAGCCCRTAACCCAACGACGAGCCCTTCTCCCTTCAGGCACTTTTTGATGCCCACCGGGCGGGCGTTTGCAGCTACCTGCAGCACGATGTCAGCGTCCCGGTTCCTCCCTATGGTGGTGGTGGGCGACCTCAGCGGGAAGCAGCCCTCGGCGCCCCTCAGGAAGGCTCTCACAGCCCCGCCGCCTGTGGGCAAGGCGCCTCGCGCGCTGGCTCGGGTGACCCCCCCTCCTCCGCGGCCCGCTGCCGCCCCGGCCGCCATTTCGCAGCGCGCGGCCCCGCCGTCGCCACGGCAACCGGGGCCGCCATGGCGGGCGCTCCTTCCCGGCCTCTCCCTCAGACATGGTGGGGAACGGCCTCAAACGCGAGCACAGCGCAGCCCAGCAGGCACATGCCCCGCRCTGCCTTCCCTCAGAGGTGACATAGCCCTCCTGCTTTGCAATTTATTACAAAGCCACCCATATTTCACAGTGAAGGAGAGTCCTCCTCCTTCTCTCTGCCTATTTATCACCCGTGCCARTTTTATAAGACGGTTTGTCACAGTTGGGGTTTTCCCTTTATTTTTTTTTCCCCTATTTTTAACAGGCACCCTTACTATTTATTTGCCTTATTTGGTTAAGCAAGTCACTCATTTCGCCCCTCTGAGATCCCAGGGTCCCCCCTGGGGCTGAGTGAAGCAAAATTCCTGTGATTTACAATATTAGAAGACAGGAGAAAGAATATATAATAACCAACAATAAGCAGGACAAGCTTGTAAAGATTTGGACCTGCCTCTCTTCRTTGTCTTTGTTCTAGCTATTTGAACATACCTGGTGATTTTTCCTGGTGGCAGCACCCAGCTGACCCRTGCCAATGGCACCCGTTGCACAGACCATCCGATCAGCTCTTCCCACCAGTGCTGGTTCTTGGTGACCCAAGACAACTCCTTGGGGTGCTGCAGGAGTCCCACATGACAGAAAGCTTCGAAGACCCACTCCTGCCACATACACGAGTACAAAAATCACCCCGTATTGACCTACCAGAGACAGCGACAAGACCATGTGCATCCAGTGTCTACTATGGGTTCAGGAGAGGCTCTACTCCGCGTCCACACCTTGACATTCACACCACACGAGGGAAAACACAGCCATGGATGCTCGTGAGTTTGCAGTCCTTACAGCTCTGCGAGAAGCCCATGCCTTAAAGCAAACCAGCAATTGATTTTTGTCCTGCTCCAGCTCGAAGCCCCAGGGAACAGCAAGCTACGCGCGAGTGCACACACACACACATACCCAAACACAATGTACAAAATATTTATTTAGAAAAGGTCTGCTTGCAGCATATTCAACAGTAGTTTAAACCAGAACATCTCAAGTGTCTTTTGGCAGAGGTACGCTGATAGTCCCCAACCTGTTGGATTTATCAGCTTGCCTCAGATGGCCTATACCTTCGTACTGGAGCACAAAACACCAAAGAGAAAAACAGAGGCTACAGTCCTCTTCTGAAGGAGTGCAGCTTTAGAGGCCTACACGGTCCTCTTCTGAGAAAGTGGAGCTTTGGAGGCCATCATGAGAGCTCCTGTGTGTTSAGAGATTACTTAAGTATCTGCTGAATTAATTTTTTCACCGATTCTGGTTTTGGCCAAGGAGGAGAAAACACTGCAGGGCTTCAGGCTGGCTTGGAGCCACCACCCCAACTCCTCTTGTGAATGGAGCCRAGGAGAGCTACAACGCTCATCTGACCATTTCTTTATTTCATACTCAGAAAGAAAAGGGAAAGAATAGACATTTCCCTTTTCCGCTTGCAAAATTCTTGATAAATACCAGTTTTGTGGCTTAGAAAATTCCTGTCTGAGTACAAGGGAGAGAAGAGCTGAGAGGATGTGTTAGGCAGTCCTTAATTTAAAACAAAACAACATCCATATTTAGCCCTTCCAGCCTTCATTTGCTTCAGAGCAGCAGACTTGTTTGCATTCGCTTTCTTTTCTCCCCTGCGGTATTTTATGAAAGACCGATCCTGGGAACACTCGTCCCGTCCACGTGACGGGCAGGCAAACAGCTCTCATTTCCTTGATGTGTCAGCGAGTGCTAGATGCTTCTGTGCCGAGAGAGATCAAGCCGCTCTCAGTGTTTTTAATCGGGAAAATCACAGATTTTCGTTTTTTTTTTTTTTTTTAAGTCATCTGCTGGCTGTCGGGTGTCTTCTCCTGAATCTCCTCGTACTTGGGTGGTGGGGTGAGCGGCTCTATCGTTATAGGGCCCGCGCTGCTGCCGTCGGCCAGGTTTAGGCGGATGTCCTTGAGGTGCAGCTTCTCAGACTTGATCCTCCGCACTTTGAGCGGCTTCAGGCGCTTGCTCAGGCGCGAGCCGTGCCGGCTGGGCGGCCGCTCGGTGCCGGGCTCCGCACCGGCAGCCCCCGGCACCGCCGTGCTCTCATCCATCCCCGTGAGAGACTCGTAGGAGGGCAGGGACACGCTGATCCGGTTGCCCCTCTCCGAGTCCCTGGGCTCGGCGTAGCCCGAGTTCATCACTTCCTCGTAGCTGGGGACGTAGTACTGGGAAGATGCATCTTCGTCCTCTTCTTGGCTGCAAGCGGTAACAGTAAAACCATCAGTGCCTGGCACTATTTTGGCTTCGTGGGTGGAGGGGAAGGGAATAAGAGCTTAAGCCAAAAGCAGAAAAAAAGGGATAGAAGTGTTTGCGCCTCTGTACTATACAGCAGATGACTGCAGTTGGGCAGAAAAGATGGCAACCAGCCTGGGTTTCTCCAGCATTAGGACACTACCTTTTCTAACCTCCTACAGCACAAGGGTCTTCAGAGGATCCCCAAAATCTGCCCTGAACTCACCTGTACTTGCTCCGCAGCTCTCACCTACAGCATTGCCCCAGCAGGCRCCAGACAGGACCACTGTGGGTCTCATTTCTCCTCAATAACTCCTTCTCTCTCTGGACAGAAAATACACCAATGCTTCGGGGATGGGACATAACCCTCATCCTGCACACGTGCTCCAAGGAGAGCCCTTTATTTAGGCTGTCCCTCTTACGACCGTGGTCTTTGCCCAGCTTAGAGGAGCTCCCTGAGAGAACAGTGAACCCGCAATGACTCCGAGCGGGTCTAAACTCCATCCTGCTGTGGCTGCCGGCCTGGGGATGCTGCTGTGGCTGGAGCTGAAAGGTTGTCTTGCACCTCGGACCACCCCGAGCRAGGGAGCACAGGCTGCCCCAGCGTCGCGTGCCTTCCTCCTCCCTGGCCGTCCTCCTCCTCTTGCGTTAACCATTAACAACACCCGCCCCCAGCACCCAGCACACTGTTTGTATACTCACAAAGCAAGGAGCTTCATGGCTCAGTGGTGCTTGCCTGGCCGTGGCCTCTTGCAGACCACTATTTAACCATAAACAAGCTTCCTTTCACTCACAGCAGCTGCATGAAGTCCTCCTGATCTCAAAAACTTATATCTGGACYCGAAAATAGGAGATGTGCTTGGCTTTATTTTAACACGCACCACTGCTGGCCTTAMTCTGCTTGCTCCTCACCTCTCTGAAGAGGGAAACAGTTGTATTTTTCAGCTAGATGCCCTTTTCCCYTGGAAAAGACTCACCTGTCCTCCTGGTGCGAAGGCTCTGCAGATGCCTGGTGCTGGATCCTAGTAATATCCTCGCTTTGCCTCTTCTTGTCGCGGATATTCAAACAGATGGAAAGCAAAAGCAGCAGCACTCCAGCCCCGACGAGCACGTAGGCCACGGAGAAGGTCTTGCTCTTGAGGATGGCGCCGCCGCCGCGGTCGGGCTTGCTGCTGTTCCCCGCGGGCTTCTCGGCCTGCCCGAAGCCCGGCACGAGGTTCCACACGGCCATGATGATGCCGAGGACGAGCATGCCGAGCCCGATGGCCGTGAGGGCGTAGTGCGAGCCGTTGGCGCGCGACTGGGCCATGGCGAGCGGCTCAGGGCGCGGGCGCCGCGCGGGGCCGCGCGCGATCCCTGCCGCCGAGCTCTGCAACAAGACCRAGAGCAACCGTTAGCGCACGGCCGCACGCAGAAGCGACCCGAGCTGCAACTTCAGGGAGTGAGATAACATCGCTGGATTGCGCTAACTCTGGAAATCTAATTAGCTGTCTCTGCAGAGGGCACGTGGGGTGTAATGTGGCAGGGTCCTGTCCTCATCGGGAACTAGAAAGCAGTATCCATCCGAGACGGGCACTGCTCCCTCTGCACTTGTTTGCAGCCCWGGAGAGCAGGCAGTGCCAGTGACCTCCTCCTTTCTCCTCTTCCCACCAAGCAAAAACAAACACCAAACAACAAAGCACCAAGCTCTGTTCCCCTCAAAATGCAGCTGGGCTCACTGCAGTTCACCCGGTCGTGGTTCCTCTCTCAAGAGCAGCTTCCAACCCCTGCAGGATGGGAACTTGCGTGGTTCCCACCCAGCCCTTCTTGGAAACTCCTGCAGCAATTATGGAAACTAAGGCAAAGGTTTTTTGTAGGATGGTCCTATATTTTGTCAGACTGCATGGAAAACAGCAGAGATGCAGGATCCTGYGGCACGGGCACCTGAAAGCAGGTTTTTCTATGCTTCTACCAGCAACTACTGCACCAAAACCCAGCTTTCCTGCAAACTAACCCAAAACCACTATGCAAAAACAAAATCCCAAGCTGTGTAACTTCGCCTCTGTTCCTGCTGGCCGCCTGCCACGCAGAGCCTCCCTGCACAAAGAAGAGAAAGCAAAAGCACCCGGGCGCCCAGGCCGCTCCGAGAGGCGTCCGCCTCCCTCCTGCTCCCCATCCACACGTCCCGCTCGCTCCCACCGGAGCATTTCACCTTCTGAGCAGGAGAAACCCAGTGTGGGAACCTCACCTATACACTGCGTTTCTGTGTTTCCTTCGTTGCAAACACTCAGTTTTCCCCAAATAGGCACAAGGCGCCGCATCTTCCAGCAGCCTTGGTCTTATCCTCCAAGGAYGGCGTCGGCAAGGGCAGGGATCCCATATTTCCACGCTGTGCACCCCTGCAGCTGCGCAAACGTGCCGTGTTTTCTTTCCCTCCCCGGCCCTGGCTACTCCATCCTTGTTTGCCTTAGAAGTCGCCCCTTAGATAGGACACCTCCGCGTGCGTTTTTCCATGCACGCCCTTGCTCTTTATCAGCGCAGTGCAAATCTGGGGTGCTGAGCTGCCTGTTTGCTTGTTTAGCTTGAGAGGAAGCCTCCTTTGCTGGGTCAAGGGCCAAACTAAAGCAGCATTCCCAGAAAACAGGCACTYGCCGGAAGGAGCACCAGGCGGGAAAGCAGCAGAGCAGGCTGCAGAGCGGGAATTGCGCTGGACAACTTCTATGTGCAGCTTCTGCGGGCAGAAAGCCCTCCAGGGCTCTGCGTGCTGGCAGAAGGGGCTGCRTTTGGAGACTTGGCTTGCACAGCGGTGCCAAAAAACGGGCAGCTCCACAACCGGAGCTGGAAAACAGGAGCCAGGAGGGTTTTTGCTCACAGCAGCCCCGAGTCCTTTTCCCAGGGAAGCCTGCCAGCAATCTCCGCACTCACCTCCCTCCTCCCTGCCCCAAAACACGGCGCTGGCACAGTCCAGACCCTGCGTTTTCCTATGCAGAGTGAAGCACCGCTCCGGCACGCACCTGAACCGCRGCCACCGCGAGCCCGTCTGTAAAACCAAGCGAGGACGCCGCAGCGCGCGACCTCCTCCTCCTCGGCGGCACCGTGCGCGTTCCGGACGGGCTCCGGCCTCTCCCAGCGGCTGCCAAGGCTCAGGGCGCTGCCACCGCGTCCCCGCTCCGGCGGCCGCTCCCACCCTCGGCGCTCCGGCGGCTACGGAGCTCCTTCCTGCAGCTGGCCCTGGTGCCCAGCCAGCAGCAGCTCCCGTTACAGCCCCGCGCCTTCGGCGCCCTCCCTTATTTCAAGCAAAATGGGAAGTTGGGCACCTGCCTGGCAAAGCCTTTGACGACACCGGCCCCTGCGCGCCATGCGGACCTTAATCCCAAGCGAGCCTTGCTGCTCCGTGGGCACCACCATTGGCGTCCCCTTCCCTGGGGAAACCTCCAGGGCTCCTTCTCCCATGCTGCCCACTCCGGTGGCAAGCGTGGAATCATTGGGGTGACAGGATCCGGCCTGGCCTCGCCGCCAACCCTCCCTCATGCCCGAGCACGTTACGCATCAGTCGCTCCCAAAAACACACTGAAAAGAATGGAACATTCTCCTAAGACAACGGCAAGCGAGTGAGCGCTGTGCCTGCATACGGACTGAAGCTCACGCTGGAAACGTGCAGAGGTCAGCCTTGCAGCACAGTCACTGACATTTATTTCACGGACTGGACTTCTCTTTTTTGGAAGGGACATTTTCAAGAGCAACAGCTTGCTCGGCCTGTTAGACCTCCCCAAAGACTCCCAGCACATCCAGCTTCACGCTGGCACCTCCAGCCTGCCGTGATGGGATTTAAGCTCCTAAATCATCCCCGTGCTTACGAGCTTGGGGATGATTCCTCTCCAGTCAAGGAGATCTGACTTACAACTCTGCTTCTCAGGTGAGTTATCTCTTATTTTGGGTGCCAGGATTTCTAGCACTTTGCTTGGCAATAACCACGGCACTATGATGTCCACTGCAAAAGACTGGACCTGCTGCCCTCTATAAGCCYGGGATCAGCTGGGTAGGTCTGACATTCCTTGGTGCCACCTGGAAAAGCTGGGGCAGCTTCCAAGGAGAGAGGACGGTGCGGAGAAAGGAGCCAGCACCCAACAGGAGCAATCAGGGAACCACAAAGCAACCTCAGCCACCACCGTCTCCCAAGGCCTCATCTCCAGCGCCGGCATCTCCCCCGGCAGCTAGAGACTCCGAGGAACGTGACTCGCAGAGYGCATGCAGGATTATATAGCAGTAAAAACAGAAAACCCAAAAGAGGAGTGAAGAGCTGCTTACTCACCGTGCGCAGCCCACATGGTGCCGCTGTCCCCAGCGCTGCCCCCCGGCCCGGCGCCTTCCCGTGCCAAGGGGAACCTTTGCTCCCGGCCCACACCCGCGCTGCCCGGCGCTGTCAATGATTTACCTGCGGAAACGGCTCCCGCCTCGCCCTGCCTCCCCGCGCCGGGCGCATCCGYGCGCGGGGCACGACGCGCCGGGCGCATCCCACCTCGCAGCCCTAATTACRCAGGGCCACACGCGGCAGATAAATCATCTTTCTGGGTTGCTTCATGCTGGAGATACCAGGTAATCCTCTATTTTTGGCCCCCACCTACAGCGATTGCTAAAGGTGAGCTCTCCTCTTGCTGCAACAGGCTAATGATTCAGGCAGCACAGAGGGGCGCAAGGAGCCGCCTCGCACAAGGYTGAAGAAACAAAAGTGCTGCCCAAAAAGCTAAGAGCACCGAGCGCCTGCTGCTCGAGCCACTCGCGAGGCACCGACACAGCACCCGTCACACCAGCCACAGCAACCACAGCTGCACACCCTTAATTGTGAATGTGGGGCAGACACCCATTAGCTTCGGCTCTCCCACTGACGGCTTTCCAGCCTCCTCCTCTCCCCATAACTTCATTAGAGTCACCAGGAGAACGCTTTCTGCGAGCCCGTAATGGGCCCTGACGAGGAGCCCTCGCAGACAGAGACGTTTCCATGGACTCGTSCTCGTATCTCTGCGGCTGCGCTTAACAAGGGGCTTTAATAAATCCCGGGGGGAACACGCGCTCGGGCTGGCAGGGATACGGAGGAGTCTTCCTTGCAGCAGGAGGGCCTGGTCACCTTTTCAGGGCTCTCCTTGTGCGCAGCTCGGATATTTAGCAAATACACCAAAACACACCATGCTGATGGCAGAGACTTTCTGGCCAGGCTCTGGGAAAAGCAGAGATGTGGGAAGTTGGGGCTACAGAAGGGACTTGAATTTCCAGCCTGCCCTGTGCTACGAGGCGCTCCTGTGACTTCCAGGAACTCACGTCTTGCATTTGGCAGGGAAAAAGGCAAGGAAGACGCGGAACTTTACCCCAGGAACAGGTCGAAGGAGTGTCTGTGCATTCCCCAGGGGCCTTCAAGGCAAAACCTGGAGCAAAGTGGGACCTGAGCTTCCCCCATTGCTTCTTTCCAAGCTTACAGAAGGTTCAAAGTTGTCCAACTCGGTCCCATGCAGTGTTTGAGAGAGAAAAAGAAAGAAATTCCTCTTGCAAGCAGGGATTTTGGTCAGCGGGTTTGCCATGCGGAACATCCCTGCTSCCCAGGGCGAGGATGCTCCGACATTCCTGCCTCCCCAGCCACTTCCTCTCACAAGAACTTTTCCGCCCATGTAATTAAGCTCACGCTTAAAATCCAGGGCAGATAAACGGCCTCCAGCTGCAGGAGAGCCAGGCGGGACGCGGTTCCCTCGCACCCTTGTTCTTTCCCGCTCCGAGCATCCGCCACCACCGCACGTGCCCGGAGTTTCCCCAAGACGCGGGACGCGGTGGCACTAACGCACACGGCGGCGAACGCACCGGCTCCGGTTCGGTTCGTGAGGCTGCCGCGGGAGCGCAGGGCTGCTGGGCGCCTTAGTCCGCTTCGGGAAGGCGCTCCCGGGGCCGGTGGCTGCCAGCGCGGGGCCGCGGGGCCCGGGGCCGGCGGGCACGAGCCCCCGCGCCGGCTTGCGGGGCTGGTGCCGGCCCC